AAAATTAAAGTTGTATTACCATTTTTTCATGAAAATCCTTTTTTGAACTGAAATCAGCTCACCTAAACACACTAAACTCGATTCTTCTTCCCTGTGAGGCTCCTCTTGGTGCATTTATGCTTGTGAGTAGCATCTGGAATGTCTCTCTGAAGCATCCAACAGTAGTCTGCCATCATTGTAATGCTCCATTTTCGCTGGTATCGCCTTCCCATCTCTTTAATGTCTTGGTGGAATCGTTCACCTTGTTCCTCACTCACAGCTCCCAAATTTTCAGGAAAGTAGTCAAGGTGGGACTGGAGGAAATGCATTTTCAAACTCATCAGGCAACCTCAAGCTTGAAATGCTTTCAGCATTCGTCCGACGATCTTTTTGTAGCGAGGATCTTTGTTATTGCCTAAAAACTTCTGTACAACTTCCATAAATGCAATCTACCCTTCTTTTTGAGGATCCGTCATGGTATTGACAAACTCTTGATCAACTATAAGCCTTCTAATGTCTGGTCCAACGAACACGCCTTCCTTTAATTTTGCCTCAGACAGGCCTGGAAACTTGGTGACCAAGTATTTGAGGCATTCTCTATCTCTTGGAAGTGATTTTACGAATTGCTTCATCAATCCCAATTTTATGTGGAGAGGTGGTAGAAGAACTTTATGGGAGGGTACCAAAATTTCTCGGACATTTTTTTCACTGACTGTTAGCACCCTCGCCTGCCAATTCTTCTTGGTCCAGTGATTTTGTCGGTCTCGACTGTCCCATAGACACAGAAAACAAGGGTATTTGGTATCCCACCCACTGGATTCTTCAGGAAAGATTAACCCCTTCTACCATTAGAAGCACAGACTCAGGGCTGAGGCTTACACATACAGCATGCTGCTGAGTATCCCAGTAGTCAGACATGTCACTCAGAGCAGCACTTGTATTCACCCCCTTTGCAGGGGGGAGGGGCAGAGATTGTTTACCTGCAAATAACAACAAAGGGCCAAAAGAGAACTAGGGAAATGAGGAAATAGAATTTTTTTCTGCTAAAACTTGCTTAGCTTATGTATATATTGCTGACCATCAGATTTACAGTGCTATATTTTTTTTTACATAACTCGGACAACCCCTTTAAGGTTTTTTTGGTATTTTATATCTTAAATGCTCTTATGTGAATTAATAGTAATTTGGATTTTAAATCTGGTTAAAAACCCATAAAAAAAAATAGCAAAAAATTTAAAAAAATTTTAAGTCAGTTTTGCATTTTGTGGCAAATCATGATGTCTAGGAGTTTTTTCAATATTTTGTTTTCAGCACACCAAAATACATGGAAATTAGATGAAAATAATCAAACAGCTTTTTAGTCGCAGACCTGTGTTATTGACTGGTTATTTGCTCATGCAAGTCACCTTTTTTCATGTCATATATAATTTTTTTCACGTCTTGTATGTTATTCACTATAGCGCTGCACTCGCTTTCCATTAAAAATTATCCACAGCTGGAATGCTTCATAAGAACAAAAAAATCTTGGATTACATACACTTTAAGTCCCATGCAAAAATAAAAGCAGAGGAAAAGGAAAGAATTAACTTCTAAAAACAACAGTGAATACACTATATTGCAAGAAGTATTGGGACACCCCTCCAAATCATTGGATTCAGGTGCTCCAATCACCTCCATGGCCACAGGTGTATAAAGTCAAGCACCTAGGCATGCAGACTGCTTCTACAAACATCTGTGAAAGAATGGGTCGCTCTCAGGAGCTCAGTGAATTCAAGCGTGGTACCGTAATGGGTTGCCACCTGAGCAATAAGTCCATTAGTGATTTCCTTGCTACTAAAAATTCCACAGTCAACTGTTAGTGGTATTATATTATAGAAGCAACTGGGAACAACAGCAACTCAGCCACGAAAAGTGACAGAGTGGGGTCAGTGCATGCTGACATGCACAGTGCAGATGTCGCCAACTGTCTGCGGGGTCAATAGCTAAAGACCTCCAAACTTCGTGTGGCCTTCAGGTTAGTACAACAGTGCACAGAGCTTCATTGAATGGGTTTTCATGGCCGAGCAGCTGCATCCAAGCCTTACATCACCAAGAGCAAAGCGTCAGATGCAGTGGTGTAAAGCAAGCCGCCATTGGACTCTAGAGCAGTGGAGACATGTTCTCTGGAGTACCGAACCACACTTCTCTGTCTCGCAATCGAATGGATGTGTCTGGGTTTGGCGATTGCCAGAACGGGACTTGCCTGGCTGCATTGTGCCAAGTGTAAAGTATGGTGGAGGGGGGATTATGGTGTGGGGTTGGGCTTGGCCCCTTAGTTTCAGTGAAGGGAACTCTTAAGGCGTCAGCATACCAAGACATTTTGGACAATTTCATGCTCCCAACTTTGTGGGAACAGTTTGGGGATGGCCCCTTCCTGTTCCAACATGAATGCACACCAGTGCACAAAGCAAGGTCCATAAAGAGTTTGGGGTGGAGGAACTTGACTGGCCTGTAAAGTCCTGACATCAACTCGAAAGAACACCTTTAAAATGAATTAGCGCGGAGAATGCGATCCAGGTCTTCTTGTCTGACATCAGTGCCTGACCTCACAAATGTGCTTCTGGAAGAATGGTCAAACATTCCCATAGACACACTCCTAAACCTTGTGGATGGTCTTCCCAAAAGAGTTGAGGCTGTTATAGCTGCAAAGGGTGGGCCAACTCAATATTGAACCCTACGGACTGAGACTGGGATGCTATTAAAGTGTAAAGGCATGTGTTCCAATACTTTTGGCAATATAGTGTATATCTAAGCTCAATATGTGGGAAGCAGTCATGATTCTGTGGGTCTGTGGTGAAAAGGTGGCATTTTACTTTAACCCCTTATAAACTGACACCCCCTTCTTAAATACACACTCAGAATAAGAGACAAATGCAGTAAAAGTGTAAATGTATTTTATTATGGAGCAACAGAAAAACTTGCAATATGATTTTTCCTTTTAAGCATCAAATGGACATAATATATTTTTCCTGATTTACGCTCAAACTACTTTGCTGTCTGTAGTCTATGATATATAGGGACAGAAGTAATTGGACAACAGAGACTGAAAGGTGTTACTGTGCTGCTCCCAAGTCGCTCAGTGCCAGATGTCCCCCATTTAAAGTAGTGGCTTGTGTTATTGGATGTCTTTGAATCACCTGTAGTCCAGTTCACACAACTGCAGTTAGTGTGTTTTGGAGAACAAGTTTTAACTCCATCACTGCCTGAGGATATGCAATATGCAAAGGGAACCTGTCAAAGAGCAACACATCTGTGCGATAAGACTGACTTGAAGCCACAATTCTCCAACTCCGAAGAAACAAAAGTTAAGTGAAGCTGGAAAGGTTCATTTTCTCTGCCCCAGAACTCTAATGTGACTCTGAATGGAAGCTCCCCATCTGGGGCATCTCAGCATTTTGTTTTTGTTTTAATTACAACTAAAGAGGGCCATGCATGGGAATATATTCTGCAAAGAATGAAGATTAGCCTGTGGTGAAGGAATCACAGCAATCTTTCAGCTTGACCCACTTGATGAATAGCTGTGGTGTTTGCTTTAAATGGTTTGTGCCTTTATTTTCAAAGAAAAGGGAATGGTCAGTGACTGCTTTGTATACAAATGATCAATCTCTGATGGAAACTTCCAGGAACTTCTGATCCTCAAAATATCCTTGCTGTAAACTGTCAGCAATGTCTAGTCACTAAAAGTTGCAATATTATGATCAATGGGGAATGTATGACCTTCCTGTTGTTACCAACAGTAAGCAACAAAATGGCAGTTGGTAGTTTTTCTTCTGCAGGATTTTGAGGGGAAAATCTGTTATATGCCTAATAAAATTGTTCCCCACTAAAAGCCTCTTTATCGTTAAAGTGGTTGTAAACTTCAGACATGAAATAATAAACAAAACATATCCATATCATATGGTGTGTGCATGTCTCAATTAAGAGCACCAAGTGGCATTTCTGCCTGCTGCTTCATTCCACTGCTATCAGCAATAATCACTTCTGACAAGTTTTCCTGACACCAAGAGGGAAAAAAAGAAAAAAAAAAAGTGGGGGGGGGGGGGGAAGAGAGATCTCCAGCACCTAGCCTGTGATTGACAGCCTCAGCTCCACTACAGTGTGCTATGTGATGGAGGGAGCAGCTCTCCCCACCAAGCTCTGTGGTGTGTGATTTCACCTCTCCGCCCCCATAAATAGGCACAACTCAAGTAGGAGGATTTGTTTCACCTCCTTTGTATATCACCTGAAGACAGTCACTTCACTGTGTATAGGAATAGTTTACAATCACTTTAACACTATTTTGTGATGTTCTCCTGAACAAGGTACATTTATTACATCTTTTATATAAACCCGCTTCTCTCTCTCTCTGGTTTAAATCTGATTGGCTGTTGTGGCATATATATCACAGTCTCAGACAGCCCTTCCCTCAGACATTTCAATAAACTAGAACCAATCCGACTTACAAAACAGGGCTGAGTTACTGGACTAACTGAGAGTGTATTAGCTTCCTGCTGCAGTACCGGTGTCCTCATGTCATCCTAAACTTGATTGGATGTTGGAGGTATCCTCTTCACGTTTGCTACAGATCTGGACATTTAACACCCCCCCCCCCCCCCCCCCCCAGTGGGTTTTGTGTAGAAAAGTAACTGAAACTAAAGTGTGTTGCCCACAGCAGCGAGCTCCAGGCTATCATTCCTCTAGGTAGGATCAGACAATGAATGGACAAGACAGGTTGTTATGGGACAGCTGATACACACTCCAATGACAGCAGTAATATTTATTACAGCAAAAGTTATTTTTTTATCTCATGAATAGGATTTCCCCAAAACACATATATTTTAATATTTCAGTATTTAAAAAAAAAAGAAAACATATGAATTGAAGCATATTGCAATTTGTATACAGAGTATTGTGAAAAATAACACAGTCCAGAATATTGTCTGTTGCTTCCATGCATATTCTGGTCACATACCAACAAACACACACAACCGAAAATTCACCCGCTATTTAAATACAACTGTATCCAACATGGCTGCTAAACACTGGACAATATTAGAGGTCATCAGAACATCCACGTGTTCCTCCAAGTGACGCTTGGGATCCTATGGAGAGTGAGATAAGGGAAGAAATTATACATGAAAACATTATTAGAAGTAAAGAGTACATATGGATTGTTTTCTTGTAACTGTGATAGCTACTTGTACTTAGGAGATCTGCATTATCACAAGTGATGAAGATACATCATTTAAAACAATTTTATTTTTAAACTATACAACACTGTAAAGGGGCTATATGGACCGCAATCCAGGAATGGCCATTGCAGACTGGTTTTAAAGAAGTACAAGCCCCAAGGGCTCTCATCCTGATCCTGCCGTCTCCACCTAGTGAGTCACTGACTTGGAACAAATATGCAAGATTAGAATTAAAAGAGAAGTACGGGAATATAAAATAATAAACATACATACTAACATAGATGGTTGCAGCATCAATCCGATGCTGCAGCTGTCCTCACCAGCTCTACGCCGAGAACTGAGTGACCAAAGACTTCTGGATTCACGTAGTTCTCACATCCACTCTGAGAACAGAACGGTGACTGACAGTTGTCTGTTTTGCCCCTCCAGCACTCACTGTAGCGCCAGGCTCAGTTGGCTCAGGCTCTCTGAGGTGCACTGAAAGGCAGAGCCAGCTGCTAATCAGGCATCTGGACATTATTGACGGGATCCATGCTGAGCTTGGACTGACGCTGTGACATCAGCTGACAGCAGAGTTTAGCCCACTTTAAGTCATCAACCATAGAGACTCGGTAAGCAATGACTGTAGGATCAAATTAGCAGTCATATTTTTGTTTTTTTTTTTTTTTGTTTTTTTTTAAAAGAAGGATGTGAGAATACAAACAAAAAGAAAGCTTACTAATGAAATGACACCATATTAATTGTCAGTGTAAGTACTGAAACCTCTGGATCAACATGACAGCTAGAAAAATAAATGAGATTTTATAGCTCGGGAATCAGAAAAACAGCTTCACTTTATAAATGATTTTTATAATAGTTGGGCAACAGCAATGACCAACAAGACAGACAGTTCCGGGTCAACCGTATCAGGCCACATTACCTGTTTCCCAACATTCTTTATAGCAAGCTGCTCAGGGGTCATCTTATCTTCTTCCTCTACAGCCTGTGTGCATAGAAGAAAAAAAAAATCCATTAGCAGTTTGATATTAAATAAGAGAAGAAACAATGCAAACAAGACTCCCGGGGATACACATTAATATAAGCTGCTCCAGACAGAAAACTACTAGGTAAAAAATCAGGATAAAGGTAATTTATGCACAGAGGTATAGTTTTGGCCTAATCTGCTTACATGTACCCAAAACTCTCTGCCCATGTACAAAGCACATTTACCATCAAGTTACTGCTCCATGTAGAGAGCACATACAGTATACCGTGAAGTCAGTGCTCCATGTAGAGAGCACATATACCCAGAAGTCATTGTTCCATGTAGAGAGCACATATACCCAGAAGTCACTGCTCCATGTAGAGAGAACATATACCCAGAAGTCAGTGCTCCACGTAGAGAGGACATATACCCAGAAGTCACTGTTCCATGTAGAAAGCACATATACCCAGAAGTCAGTGCTCCATGTAAAGAGCACATTTACTCCAAAGTATTTTCCCCTTGCAGAGACTCAATTTCAAAAGTCCAATAAATAATAAAAAAATAATATATATATATATACATACATACATACACATATATATATATATATATATATATATACACACACACATACATACATATACACACATATGCAAAAGTCAGGAACCCAATCAGATTTCACTTAAGGAGGTTGCAAAGGCTCAAGGTTTTGTTACCTGCATGCATTCTATGTATGAAGGTACAAAAACCTTGTGTGTGCAGCAGTGCACCCAGACCCCCCTAAAATTACCCGAGCCCCATCTTCATCCAATGATGTGCACGAGAGCCTTGGCTCTCCTGGGTCTCTCTCTCTCCTCACTGGCTGACACAGCAACGGCAGCCATAGGCTCCCGCTACTGTCAAAAACAGCCAATGAGGAGTGAGTGGGGGCAGGGCTTAGCAGCGCTCCATGTGTTAAAAGGCACAAAGAGCAGTGGCTAGGGAACAAGCCTGCTCGGGTTCCCCATAGCAAGCTGCTTGGGGGCACTAAGCAAGAGGGAGAGCGGGGTACCTGAGGAGAAGAGGATTGGGGCTGCTCTGTTCAAAACCACTGCAAAGAGCAGGTAAATATGACATGTTTGTTAGTTAAAAGAAAAAAAAAAAAAGCAAAAACAGCCTTTAATATCACTTTAAGTTAGAATAGCAGAACATACATTCTAACTGGTTGCCATGGCTTATTGCATTCTGCAAATTCTTCTTTGAAGTCTACTGATGAGTAGACAAGATAGTCTGAAATCTGAATCTCAGGTACATGATCACTGATTGGAACACCAGAAAGTCAGCCATAATCATATGCTAATTGGATGCGCTGCGGAGACCACATAGTGCTGCTAACACTGGTCCGTTCCATCTATTTATAGTCTGTAGCATCAGCACCACCATCCAACATTTTACTCATTAACTCGGATGCATCAAAGCCAGTAGCTACTTGTCATTGCAGCACTAATCTACACTGCAGTACAGCAAAACACTAGTTACACACTGTACAGTCTACAAAAGATTGTTTAATGCCAATATAACAAAGTGTCTATGGAATAAATGAAAATTATTTACAAAACATTCATGGTACACACTGACATAAACAAACATTCAACATGCAAATGGTCACTGCCTTCACAGAAATTCCAAAGGCTGCTTTCATTAAAAATTCCCAATTTTTAAGAATCAAATTAGTCAATAAGTATTTTTAAAGTATACTGATTATATCCTTAAAGGTGGTAACACTGGCAAGCTCTTCCTGCAATGTGCACCTATCTATATTTAGGCTTTGTTTGTGTTGTGATGGGGGGGGGGGGAGGGGTTGGGTAAAACATTATTCGTGATCCCCCTAACATGACATCCAAACAAGATGCCAGCAAATTGTTAATGAATATACTCTGACCCCAAAGTCATTCAAACCAAACATATTGGCAATGTAATGCCTGACACCCACACTCCCTCACTGGCAGCAGAAATATAAAAAAACTGAAATGACAACACATGCCAGAGGCTCCATTACTAATCAGTTTCCACTGTATGGCGACATGAATTTCACTCTGATATATGTAAATGGGATTTTGTAATGAGCTAACCAGAAAAACATCTTTGCATTTTTAACCAATGGAACACTAAAGAATGCTAATAAAGCCAATCTGGAGTAAGCATATTAAAAGTGAACAAATTGATAAATAAAATGACAGTTTGATCCCTGTGTCAGATTGATGAGGTTAAAGGTCATGGGTTAATTTAGGCCAATAAGCATACTCACCTACATGGCTTAAGCACTGATCCCAGCTGCAGCAGTCCCCCACCGCCTCTAAGACCAAGAACTGAGGTATCAAACACTGCTGATCGCTCATCTCTTGGTCCTCTGTCAGTCACCAGCTCTCTGCTCTGCCCTTCAGAGTTCACTGGAGCACTGGACTGTGGGAGCAGCTGGCTTAGGCTCTCAATGGCTCGCTGAAAGGTTGAGCCAGCTCCTGGTCTAGGCATTCGAGTGGATCCCAACTTTAAAGTAAGGTTCTTTCTTGACCCGGGAGCAGCTTTAGCCCAGTCAGATTAACATGGGAGTGCAGAACAAACTGCCCTCTTGTGATCTATAGAAGCATAGCCATAGGTGCAGTAGAAGCAGCACTGTAAGCCTGGGAACTACAGGAAATTTTCGGGCAGGGTCAACAGGCTTTTTTTCTGCACTTTTAGAAGAGTTTTTAAAGGGGTGAAACACTGGGAAAGGTGCACGTATTGCAGTGGAGTACTGATATATTTTTTTCTTAAACTAAGAAGAGATCTTGTCCTTCCTTAGATCTTCTGCACCCCAGCAGTAGCTACCATTACCAGGAATATTATAGAGGGTAAAGAAATCACTTGTTTGTACAGCGTAGTTCCTGGTAACTGAATTGCACTTCCAAGTTACAAATACATGAATTGCTGGTGGGACAAGGACAGATTAGAGAAGGATAGCCTTCTAAACCCAGAGGTAAACTTGAAATCATTTTCAGGTTTCAGGGAAACCCGTAAAAACAAATTAATTGGGAGTCAGTGTGAAAAATGCACATTACATGATGGTCTGTAAGAAGAATGCCCCCATTACAGTGATGGTCAGAATGCAACCCTTATTGGCAGCAAAAAAGATCATTGTTGCCATGCTGCTGATAACCAAGTGGCGATGACCTCTGAACGATATAGGCACCATCAAATGAGGGGGCAATTTACCACAAATCAAGGAACATCATAGCAACCTCTGGGGGGAGGGTCCCATGATGTGAATGATTTACTCCTCTACTGCTTCTCCTCTGCTGTTTACTCCTCTACTGCTTCTGGGGAAAAAAAGTCACTGACAAACATTAGTGGGATGATGAGAAAACTGACTACAGTCTAGGCAAAGCTCTATGAAAATGAGACCAGATTATAAGTAAAAGAACACATGCTGTTGCTAGGGCTAGTAGACTGAAGGAATTCAGCTCATTGGCAGCAATGTCACCACAACAGTGGCAGCATGAGATGGCTCTCTCAGATGACAGATTCACTTGTATTAAGCCAGCCAGGACTTTATACCTCCCTTGAACAAAGGTAGGAAAATCAAAAAGTGAAAGAAGTTTTTTTAATTGATGGAAAGCTGTAACCAGCAGTGGCTGGTTATATTATTTTTTATCAACCTCTCACAATTTTATATGCATAGGATACTGGGTTTGAAATCATCTAGGTCCTTGTGTACAAAGATTTTTGCTGCTCCTGTATTTATGCGAGTTTCCTCCTTAATTGATCTGAGGTTGAATGTGTTGGCTGTGGTATACATATCAGCTTTGCTGACTAGTGGGATTGGATATAATCAGGAAATTGTTCTCTGAAAAGAACAGACCGCAATTAATGGAAGAGGGGAACATCACTTTCCAGTGTGCCACATTGCTATAGTTCTATCAGCTACTGTGTCCGGTAGTGATGTAGTGGCCGGTGTGTGGAACTACAGATTGCAAGAGAATATGTAGCATCTGCCACACTCTGAAGCACTGGATTACCAGTGGTAGCTGTAAATCATCACAAAAGAAAAGTTTGGAATCGCTGCCTAGACAGGTTCGTTTTCTTGTACATGCTCCAGATTTTTTTTTAACGTACTGTAGAAACAAGGATCTTGGAAGAATCGATGCACACCGACAGATCTGGGTGTGTTAAATGTGAAGAACGGCCTCAGTCCCAGCTCCTCCTGATGGCAATGCCCAACTCCCTCAACGCGTTTTGCCCCACTCACGGGGCTTAGTCTTCTACTGATTAAGCCCTGGGGGCGGAGCGAAACGCATCAGCAGACGAGGCCATCAGGAGGAGCTGGGGCTGAGGTCACTCTTCACATTTACAGTAATTCACCCAGAGCTGTCAGAGTGCAGCAATCCTTCCAAGGATGATTTGTCATGCATTCTTGATAAGCATATTCACACCAGCACCCTTTCTAGTGGGTCACCCGAACACTATTATCTGTGCTTCATGAAGCTTCCTATCAGGTCACAGCAAGTAGAAATAGGGTTGCTCTAAACAGCCTAACAACACTCTATAGCTAAATGGGTCTGAAGAATCCTGTTAACGTTTTTTTTTTTTGGGGCATCTGAAGAAACTCCAGCAATCTGAAAATTATTGAGAAAAAAAATCGCTCAACCACTTCTCTAGATAAAATGTAATGGAGTTTGAAAATGAATCATAAAATGCCATAAAAGCATTTGAAAAGATATCCTGTCATCTAACTCTAGGGATATATATGGCAGACATATAGTATGAGTGTACAGTATATAAATATATGACATAGAAAGCAGCACTGTATACTGTGGCTTAGTCACCTTGTTGTAGTTCTTTGCCAGCTCCAACATTTCTTTCACCACAGTCTCATTGAGTTTACAATGCTCACTGTAATCTTGAAGTGTCAGACCCTCCATCCAACTCTTCTTGTGTAAATTCAACAGCATCTGCAATATGGAAATAGTGAATCACACACACATGAATCAAATACTAATTTTCTAGAAAACAACATAGGTTAGTTTAATAAAGTCCCAGGTATCCTAATATCGAATAACTTACTAGAAAAAAGTATCATCAGAAGATGACAAACTGCAAAACTGGGGGAGATTATCAGTGGTGAAGTGTTGGGCAAACAGGAAATAACGGCTGGCACAGCAGACAGCCCAGACTTCCAGCACACTAAACATTAATGGCCAGGTCACACTACATGTGTTTCAGTTGCTTTTTCTCTGCATCCAAATCACACAGAAAGTAGGTTATATGGTTGTCAATGTCACAGTTACATCAGTGCTTGCAGTTCCAATGCATTCAGGTTGCAGAAAAAAAAATTGAACATGCTTCATTTTTTCTGCACAGAACTGTACTGGAATGAGGTAAAACGCATCAAAAATGCATCGGAACGCACCAAAAATGCACTGTAACGCACATGCCCCTATTTAAATTGAAGAAAGAGAAGGGACAAAGTGAACAGGAATGCATAAAAAAACCAGACCGGAACATGTCAAAAACATGCATGCGGAAACACATTCGGAACGCATCTGGACTGTATTTCTATAGTGTGACCCGGCCCTAAAGGATAAGTTCCCATTTTTAATAAAATAATAAACGTACATCTTTTTGCAGGTAAAAAAAATGTGAATTATTTTTTTTTTTATTAGGAGCCAGTAAAGCATTGTATTTGCAATCAACAGATCACAAGTGAAATCTCAGGCTCCTGCAGACTGTCAGTGTAGCTGTCTGCCTGTACCTCATATGGGCAGGCAGTTACTGAATGACAGGAAGGATCATTGAACTACACAGAGTGCTCATCAGTGCCCTGGTAGTTAATTGAGAAATACAAGCCATGAGCCGCAATGGCTGATGGTAGTTGTAGTTCTCCCATTCACAGAGCTCTGTAAATGAGTGACGCAGCCGGGTGGGCAGAGCCCTGCACCAACACTTCAAAAAAAAAAAAAAAATTGACAGGAGGTGTGGGGAGAAAACCCCTGGCCTGTCGTCACAACGGGGACTCCGGGGGTTGCGGAGGCTACATAGTACCATGTTACACCCCAAATATGGGTGTAACATTACTAAAGGTCAACATATCCTTTAAATGTTTTTATTTCTTACAGTGTGACTCCATTCAGCAGAAAATGCCATCTGCCATACATGTTGCACATACTCTCCTGATGGACCCAACTCTGTGATATGCCTGCATGGCATGAAGAGGGCTATAAAATGCAGACTCCATTACCCTACTATCTGGAATATAGTAAAGTGCCCACTCTGATCTGGTTCCAACCTATAGGCCCATCTATGAACCCCTGCCTTCTACCCATCAACATACAGCAGAGGAACTAATACCGCAAGCCTGATTTCACCCCTCAGCTGCTGCCATGGTATTTATATGACTGTTTAGAAAACAAGTGCTCTAAAGGGGAGCCATGCAAACTCTTCTTTCACAGATAAAAACTAATTTAACCAGACCAAGCTGAGGAAAATCATTTATTTTAAGCCCAAAGCCAACATTTTTTAAACACACCAAATACATTTTTCTGTAGCTCCACGGATAGACTTTTTTTTTTTAACCACTTCAAGTCCGGACACTTTCACTTCCTTTAGATACAGGCCAATTATTCAGCTTTCAGCACTATCACACTTTGAATGACAATTGAGCGCTCATGCAACACTGTACCCATATGAATTGTTTTGCATTTTTTTGAGACAGATAAAACTTTATTTTGGTGGTATTTATTCATCTCTGGGATTTTGTATTTTTATTTTTTTATATATAAAATGAAAAAGTCCACAAATTTAGAAAAAAAGGTGTTTTTCTTAAAAAATGTTGCAAATAATCTTTCTTCATAAATATTGGCCAAAATGTATTCATCTATCTTTTTAGAAAAAAAAAACCCAAATAAGTTTGTAACCATAAATTATTATACAGATTTTTTATATTATTAATGTTGTTTTTTTTTACATACTTTCACCCTAGCAGTACAGTGTCACCATAGCAGGGGCGGACTGACCATTAGAGAACTCGGGCACTGCCCGATGGCCCAGAGTCAGTAGGGGGCCCCATGAGATGCCCCTGGTACCTTTTTCATAGTCTTTTTTGAGTTTGGGCAAGGACACAGGGGCCCCATGATCCCCTATTGCCCGGGGGCCCCAGGAGTTGTCAGTCTGCCCCTGCACCATAGTAACACTGTACTACCTGTGGGGGGTGATGAAGATTTTTTTTTCTTTTTATACACGGATTGGTTTTACACCCATAAAGGCTGTAAAAGCAATCTTTTCTCCTCTCTCTGTCTGCATTCCTGCACATGGTACAAGGCTGTTGTGAATAGCCTTGTACCATGTGACCTCTGTGATCATTCACAGATTTCATATGTAGTAAGCAATGATGTCAGGAAGTGACAACTTGTTTTACTACTATTCACGTGATCACTGATTGGCCAATCAGTGATCACATGAATCAGGACCTCACACAGAGGTCCCGTACAGCGATCTGTGTTCTGCTGTGTCCTCCGGACACATCAGGCATCAATCGCGGTGCCAAGCGCTCCCAGGGAGCGCGCACAGGCAACAGATGCGGGGGGATGTTTAGAAACGTCCACCCGCATCGGCAGCGCTCCCGTCCGGCCGTTTATTGGCATAGGCCAGACAGGAAGAGGTTAAATAAAAATCCCCTCTACTTATCCTAAATCTTTTTCTTAATGACACTCACATACTTCCAATTTCCCTCCCCATTCACAATCCAGTGGCACCCTGTGGGCAAAGTACAGCGGCATACAGGTCACATAGCAGTGATGTGTATGTACCACAAGCACTGGCAGACTGGCTACACAATCTGTTGTCCACAGAAATAACAGGGATGGAACCATGACAGCCTCTGTGCCAACTTCCAGGTTGGGTTAGGTTTTATACCATTCAACCAGGAGGTACTGCAGCAGCTATTAGACTGCAGGGGGAACAACGCCAGGAAAAAGGCAAATATTGTACTAAAAGTTGGGTTTTTATTAACAGAGGTTGGGGAATCTAAAAATTTAATTAAATTTAGAACCCACAGATGGTCTTTAGCGCAAACCCGTCAGTCATTTTTGCAGTTCAAAAGATATAAGCCCTGCCTAATCACAGCATCACAAGCAACAAAGCTTCCTGCATTTAAAAAAAAAAAAAAAAAACACCAGAAATAAGAAGAGTTTCAATACACAAGGAATACAGACAGCGGACACAAAGGGAACATCTAGGAGGGAAAGCTTACTTTCTGTTCCAGTTCATTCTTTCTGTAGTTGATTGTTATAGAGTAATAATGTCTGTTAAGGCCATGAATTAATGCCTGAAAAAAAAAAAAACCACAAGCAAATCATTAAAACATCAAAGAATCACAAGTGTACTCTATGCACACAGAACAGGTGGGTTATCTAATGCAAATTCTAGTAACTTAATTTGTATCTCATTTATATTATTCTACATCATTGGGCATCTTTAAGTGTTAAAGTGTTACTAAACCCACAAAAGTCTGTATATGCAGTAGAGAATGCTTGTTATACTCACTGTGGAGGAGTTAAAACCCTGCATTGTGTAAAAAGGACGTTTGATCCTGTCTTCTCTGATCCTCCCCTTCTTCCACAGTCCCCAATCCATCTGCTGATAGAATAGAGCCTTGGGGGCAAGCTGCACATGCTCAATTTGGTGTGTATTGCTAGAGAGTTTTTTTTTCTTGGATGAGTGCACATGATTAGCACAGGGCCAATCAGTACTGTGCAGGCAGAGGGTCTGTGTACTGTGGGAGACCAGATATAGCGAATGCAGGGTCATGAGTTTAGTAACACTTTACGGAACACCAGTCTTATAGAGTTATATCTCCAAGATAACAAAACGACTGACATAGTTATTGTCTAATGGTTTTTAACTTACATTTATGGATTATTACTATACAATATAGCTTGCAGTACAACTTACTAACATCAAGCCATGTGACCAAATGGACCATCATGACTATGAACCCTTAAACTGCCCAATATAACCAAATGTTTCATCCTGCAAACATGACAGTAAAATGCTAACTTTTGGACACAGAAATCTTACTAATAAGGGATATTTGCTTCTCTATGAAGGAAAAGAGAAGTCTTTCACTATGACACGGCAATAGGAAAACTAGACTTTGAAATTGCAGTGCAAATAGGGACTGTCTTGAGGTCACCCCATTGACATGGCTCTAGGTTTATAACTCATTTATATCATAAAAAAGAGATTGCAAAGGATGGGAGCTTCCCGATGACGCGATTCCGTAAATGCCTTGAGGCCTGGCTGTTGTCATTTCCAGTTCCTGTCTACGTCACTTCCAGCGAGTTGGTTCCGGTCTGTGAAACGCACGCCGACTCAGAAACTGCTAACAGCGATACTTAATGTTTGATCCTACCCTACGCTTTTGTGACAGTGCTGGTCAGGCACTATCTAATGTGAGTGCAATGGCTTTTATTGATTTCTCCTTTCTAAAGAAATAAAACATACTACATCATAGAAGTTCATTTCTTTTTGAGTGTATGTGCTGTCATGTCCCATCTAAGAGAAAAATATTCATGAGTCCTGATGAAGTCACAAAGTCACGTGACGCAACACGTCGACGGCTCAGCGTGGTGATGCACTTCCAGCGTGACGCCATCTTGGAACACCTTTTTCCTATGCTTACACCCAGCATAAGGGGGAATGCCTTATTATCAGTTGTTTATGTGAGTTTGCATTTTGACTTACTTCTCTAAGCTATTAAAGCGGATTACACTATGGAGAATGTGTTCTTCTCTTGTTTCATGGGTATTTGAGCTATGATCCATCCTACTCACTGGTCCATAAGGATATCTTGGAAAGGTGGATATTGTTTGCTGGGGAGTCCTTTCAAGCTACCAGTCCATGAGGAGTGCTGTTTGCTGAGGGGACCAAGTGGTGATATTATTATAGCTCTGTAGCCCTGCAGGGTCGCTGGGTGCAGGTGAGAGGCTATTACAGCCATAATTGGATCACATCCAGGGTGTGTTGGTTTACACACATTCCTCCGTATTTGCATGACCAGAAGGAATGCGACACAGATCACTGGACTGTCTTGATTGATTTGCAGTGCTGCTTTTCACTTACACTGAAGCATTTGATCCCAGTCTAGGAATTCACCTATTATTAGTCTATGTCCCTTATTGGGGACTAGGGGGTCACAGGTTTATTACCCCCATGTGGATTGGGGGTCACCCCCTTGTCTAGACCATTCACCATATACGGTCCACATAGGACCTGTGACGTGTGTGCTTTTCACTGTGTGGTCACCATATTATATATCATCTGTTTGTATATGAGCGCTACATCATTTTTTTGTATTCATGAGAAGACTGTAATGTTACCCGCTTCATTTCCTCTCTCTTAGTGATGGTTGCAATTGAGAAGTGTGATAGGCTCATTGATTATAAGGATCTGGTAAGTTGTTAATCTTCCACCCATGTGGTGAATCGCAAGATCTGCCCATTAGAACAAACACTTACCATTGGTTTGGGAACATGGTGCATGGTTTCATTGTGGAGTCACTGTATGGATACTTAATGATTATGGGCATTTTTTGATTTGAATTAGATAAGTGCCTGGTCACACCGGTGTAATTTCAGGTGCGATTTGTGAAAATCGCACCTGAAATCGCAACAAAACATGTGACTATCAGTGTCTTAATGTGTGATTTCCTGCAGCGGGGTTTCTAAAGTAGTTCTTGCATTACTTTTTCTGCAGTTTTGTTGCAATTTTACATACATAGAATATAATGGAAATCACATTCAATTTGCAAGAAATTGTTGAAAATCTTCACAAGTACCAATAAAGTCTTCTGAAATCGCACACAAATCGTGTGATTTTAAATCGCAGTGCTGTGACCGGTGACTAATAGGCTTTATTTTTCACAGTTCTTTTGGTAATTACTTATTTAAAAGGTCATTGGTATCACTTATTTTAGGAGTAGAGCCTTCTTTTAATTTTGGTTTTATATATAGTGGATATTCGCACTAAAAAGGGGCAGCTTCTCTTGACTATTATAGATGTCAGGTTGGCGCCCTTTTTCACGTTTTAATTTTAAAGATATGTTAAGGACTGCTGTTCAATGGGGTAGTGCTTGTAACAAACTAACAGAGCGGAGCACTGTGCACAAGTTTGTTTTAAGCATAAATGAATGTAAAACCTCTAAAGGAAATTTGTAGTTTTACAGCTAAAAGCAGACACATGGGGGGGAGGAAGTGAGCCAAAGATGGGGGGGGGGGGGGGGAAAAAAAAATAGGTGAAATTAGTTTGATGAAAACAGTGTAGTATTTCCACCGCATTTAACACCTAAGCTATACTCCAAGGTGGAGCGGCACTTTAACCTAGCCTCCAAAACAATTCCTAATTAACTGCACACATCTGCTGCTGCAAACAAATCCTAATTAATTGCACACACAGACATCACAATGTAGCAAATATGCCTTTTTTTGTGTAATAAGAAAATCACTAGAATATAAAAGAGAAAATATGGATCAAATGACTTCATATCAGTTCTATTAAAGAACTATAGGCATCTATGAGAATCAACAATTAGCACAACTAAGAAATGAAGCTAATTATTTGAATGTGGCAGAGGCAGATTGTTATGTTCAATTAATAAAAACCTGAGGCAGAGTTGGACGCGTTGGCCCTCAGGTTGAAGCGCAAAGGTCCTTAACCCATTTAAAGAAATAATGAAGGAAGGAGATGTTTATGCTGAAGGTCATAAAAACGTTGGCTAAAGGGTCCAGAGTGCTCAATTCTCTGGGAACTTACATGTATGGACTTGTCCAAGCCCAGTCATAAACAAAAAAAGAAATTAACAAAAAGAAAAAAAGCACAAGAGATTTTCATGCTCATTAAAACCAATGTAAGGTAGTATTGACATTTCACAGAAAGCACAGCTTGACTTTCAGCCTATGTCTGTTTTATTTGTGGTTTGAAGAGAGCACAAAAAAAAAAAAAAAAAAGAATAAAGATTGTTAAAAAAAAAAAAAAAAAAAATTAAAAGGGACACCACTGGTGTTGGTGATATCTGTAAGGACAAACCACAAACAAGACTGATGAAGCCACAAGTCCCAAGACAGTGTGTCCAACTACAACAAAGCAGGTCTAGAATTTCAGCTTCACAGGGGAAGCTACACCTCCACCTCAATGATCAAATTTTGAAGATAATCCAACAGCAACTGCTTGCATTACTAGTCAAGTGAGTAGAAGTAAAGGGCTGCTGTGACAGTGTTTAGGTTGTCACTATTTTGCAGAGAAAAAAAAAATGAAACAAAGGAGGCACAATATCCAAATAATTTGTATCTTCAAAATAGGCACAGTGGCCAGTATTTTGGCCCAAGGCATGAATATTTGTTTTTTACATTTTTCATACAGTAAGGAATAGTTAAAACCCTTGTTAGATGCAAAAAACCTGTGTGCTACTGGGGAGATTTCCTTTCACTCCTGCAGACACAACAAAAAGTGAGAAGAAAACTACAAACTGAGGAAAATCCCTTCTTCAGCAGGCCATACACAGGTAGAATTTCATTCAACATTGTTTATTTTGAAAGGTTTGTAGATTTTCGAATGGTTAATGAGACAAATTGGCATTCATTTTGACCGCATAGACAAGAAAATTTGAAGAATCGGGATGGAAAAGTAAATTAAATTCTAAATGGAATGTGGTTCTCAAATGGGAAAAATTGTTTGTATTGTATTTGCATACTATTTGACTATTGTCAAAACCAGGTACCTGCCCCCCCCCCACCAAAAAAAAGTTCCAATAGTTAAAAAGGAGGGAGGGAGGCAAACAACCCCTATTGGGTAAAGTTCCACTTTAAATTTTAGCATAAATAACACAAATCAGCAGAAGGGCCAGTGACAACAGGAAACAAAAAAAATGTAAGAAAGCAATGAGAGAATGTTGTCAGATAAGTTATACTAATTTTGTAAAAAAAAAACAAAAAAAACGAACACTTTTTCCACTGTGCTTCGTGATCAAATAAATAATCAATTTTACAGCTGCACTCAAAAAACATCTAGCATATGTTTAAATTATACTAACATGTAAATGAAAGTCCAAAAAATTTATGAAGATTCTTCCGTGAGGAAGGTGTCCATCAACATTCAATTCATTGTAAAGAGTGTATCCACCACCAATATAACCAGCCTCTTACCAAATTCCTAGACCCCACATTATAGGAGGTCTGTTTGGCATGATGCGTCATGTATCCCAATAGTATGATTACAACCGTGTAGATGTTACAATGCTGCAACGGCTTATTCCTTTTTCTTTGCTACAGGGAGTCCTCGCATACAAAAGAAACCCCCCCATAGTGTAACAACACCAAAGATTTATGAATTAAAACCGCAATAATTCTACTTTCAAAATCATAGAATAAAACTGCATGTGATAGATGCTCCTGGTCAGAAGACCGATCCTCTTGACAACGTGCTTTTGGATGAAACATATGTTGGGGTAAGAGGAGTCCATGCTGATGTCATCATAGCTGACTGGGGCCGGCACCAGGAGCGTCTATTACATGCAGTTTATTATGTGAGTTTGCAAGTAGAATTATTGTGGTTTTAATTAATAAATCTTTTGGCGCATTGCACTATGGGCGGTTTCTTTTGTATGTGAGCGCTCCCTATGGCTAAGAAAAAGGAATAAGCGTTCAAAGTATTGGAACATCTACATGGTTGTAATCATTATCACGATACGTACAACATCATGCCAAATAGACTTCCTATAATTTGGGGTCTAGGAATTCAGTAAGAGGCTGGTTATGTTGGTAGTGGATATACTCTTCACAAGAAATTGAATGTTGATGGACACTTTCCTCACAGGAGAACCTTCATGAATTTTTTGGACTTTATTTTACATGTTAAGTTGGGATTTTTTTTATTTTTATTTGAGTACTATTATTTACTCATTTATTCACTTACAGCGCAACCTATTTGTAGAAGTATACTAGTTGTGTGCTAAAGGTTAGCCTATCATATCAGTAGAAGAACTGCCACTAAAAGATACAGGCGAGGACTTATACATGTAAATAGATATCAGAAGAAAGGGATTATTTATTATTTCTGTGATAACCTCATTTATAGAATAAACTACATCATTACTAGTCACTGTGACAAAACCATAACCCTAACCACGCAAGTCTTCTAAATTTGGGGAACTGGTGCATTCATTTTTTTTTTTTTTTAATTTCTGACCACAGCTTTCCAGACCCACGTTGGATCTATAGGAGTCAGGATCAAAATGGACTCCCTCCAATACGTCACATTTAGATCCGGAGAAAACTGAAGGACACAGATCTTTTCCGCTATTTTTCCAGACTTGGACAGACTTGGAGATAGTCGGATGTAAACAGATGCATGTCTGTTTACATCAGGCTGCCCACCGGCTAACATGGAGCTTCAGCCTAAAAAACTGATGGGCAGACCTGATTATACTGCTCGTGTGAAAGGGGCTTTATTCCCGTTTTAAACTAGCTACAATAATATCCACAACAATGTATATTTGCAGCTGTGATTTCTCTATTTTTAGATTCCTACAGCCATGTCTAGTAATATAAAAGGTTAACTGAAACCCATAGTACAGCCTACTATTTATGCATGTTATATAAATGCATAGACACCGATCAGACACCGACAGGTAATGATGAACATCATTGATTATCTTGTTACAATACCATCTGAAAGTGGGTAGGATATATTAGGCAGTAAGTAAACATGCTGTCCCTAGAGATGTGTTTGAAGGCTGAAAAAATCAAGGCTGAGCACCAAAGTTTGTTGTGTATAGGAATGCCTAGCCGCAGACCAGTCAGGGTGCCCATGCTGACTTGTGTCCACACTCAAAAGCACCTACAATTGAAACATGAGCATCAGAACTGGACCACGGAGCAATGGAAAGAAGGTAGCCTGGTCTTATCAATCCCATTTTTTTTACATGACCAGGTGCATGTGCGTTGCTTACCTGAGGAAGAGATGGCACCAACATGCAGTATGGGAAGAAGCTGGCAGAGGCAGTGTGATGCTGTGGGCAATGTTCTCCTCGGAAACCTTGGGTTCTACCATTCATGCAGATGTTACTTGACAAGTACCACCTACCTAAACATTTTTAGCTGACCAAATACACCCCCCTTCATGGAAATAGTATTCCCTGATGGCAGTAGCCTCTTTCAGCAAGATAATGCGTCCTGCCACACTGCAAAAATGGTTCAAGAATGCCTTGTGGAACTTAATGAGTTTGAGGTACTGATTTAGGCTCCAGATGTTTCAGATCTCAATCCAATCGAGCATATGTGGGATGTGCTGGAAAAATATATCCAATCCATGAAGGCCCCAACTCGCAACTTACAGTACTTAAAGGATCTGCTACGGACAGCTTGGTGTCAATACCACAACATACCTTCAGAGGTCTAGCAGCATCTATGCCTCAATGGGTCAGGACTGTTTTGTCAGCAAAAGGGGGACCTACTCAAGATTAGATGGGTGGTCATGAAGTTATGGCTAATTGGTATACAGTTGCAAGAAAAAGTATGTGAACCCCTTGGGATTACGTGGAGTTTTGCATGAATTGGGCATAAAATGTGCTCTGAACGTCATCTAAGTCACAACAATAGAAGAACACAGTCTGCTGAACATAATACTACACAAACATTAGATGTTGCCATGGTTTAATTGCACATAACATGTAAACATTCACAGTGCAGGGAGGAAAAAGTATGTGAGGCCCTAGCTTAATGACTTCTCCCAGAGCTAATTGGAGCCAGGAGTGAGCCAACCTTGACTCCAATCAGTGTGATGATATTGGATGTGTTGCTGACAGCTGTCCTGCCCTTAAACACACACCTGTTTTAGGTTTACTGGTTTCAAGAAGCACTGTCTGATGTGAACCATGCCTCGCAGAAAAGAGCTCTCAGAAGACCTACGATCAAGAATTGTTGACTTGCACGAAGCTGGAAAGAGTTACAAAAGTATCTCCAAAAGCCTTGATGTTCATGTGTCCACAGTAAGACAGACTGTCTACAAATGGAGAAATTTTAGCACTGTTGCTACTCTCCCTAGGCGTTGTCGTTCTGTAAAATGACTGCAAGAGCACAGCGCAGAATGCTGCATGAGGTAAAGAAGAGTCCCAGAGTGTCAGCTAAAGACCTACAGAAATCTCTGGCACATGCTAACATTTTTGTTGACACATCTACAATAAGGAAAACATTAAACAAGAATGGAGTACATGGGAGGACACCACGGAGGAAGCCATTGCTGTCCAAAAAGAATATTGCAGCACGTTTGAGGTTTGCAAAAGAGCACCTGGATGTTCCACAGCACTACTGGCAAAATATACTGTGGGCAGATGAAACCAAGATTGAGTTGTTTGGGAAGAACACACAACACTATGTGTGGAGAAAAAAAGGCACAGCACACCCAACATCAAAACCTCATCCCCACTGTAAAACATGGCGGAGGGAGCATCATGGTTTGGGGCTGCTTTGCTGACTCAGGGCCTGGACGGATTGTTATCATTGATGGGAAAATGAATTCCAGAGTTTATCAAGACATTTTGCAGGAAAACGTACGACCATCTGTCCGCCAACTGAAGCTCCGCAGAGGATGGGTGATGCAACAGGACAATGACCCAAAGCATACAAGTAATTCAACAAAACAATGGCTGCAACAGCACAGAATATGCATTCTGGAGTGGCCCAGTCAGAGTCCTGACCTCAACCCGATTGAAATGCTGTGGCATGAACTTAAGAGAGCGATTCACACCAGACATCCCAAGAATATTGCTACACTGAAACAGTTTTGTGAAGAGGAGTGATCCAAAATTACTCCAGATCGTTGTGCAGGTCTGATCTGCAACTACAGGAAACGTTTGGTTGAGGTTATTGCTGCCAAAGGAGGGTAAACCAGTTATTAAGTCCAAAGGTTCATATACTTTTTCCTCCCTGCACTGTGAATGTTTACATGTTATGTGCAATTAAACCATGGCAACATCTAATGTTTGTGTAGTATTATGTTCAGCAGACTGTGTTCTTCTATTGTTGTGACTTAGATGACGTTCAGAGCACATTTTATGCCCAATTCATGCAAAACTCCACGTAATCCCAAGGGGTTCACATACTTTTTCTTGCAACTGTACATCAAAACAAAGGAGAAGACAGCAGTGAAGTTACAGTCAAAAGGATCCAAAAGTGACATGTTATTGTAACTGCAGAAAATGCCTTGCACACAGTGAAAACATGCATGCCAGTGATGCAAACAATAAGATGATGATCAGGGACTGACTACTGTGTAGAGCTAAGTTACTACTTACTGTGGCTTTTTTAATGATCATAGTTTTTTTTATCACGCTTTACAAAATAGATTCACCTAAAGTGGTGTGGACGAAGAAAAACCTGGTTTTGTGTACAATAAAAGATAATATGATATGGCAGAAATGACTATAAACCTAAATTAAAAAACAGAAAGGTGTGAAAATAAATCTCTTACCTGTATAGACGGTTTGTTTAAGTGACCAAGATTTGAAGTGGTTTGCCTTGGTTCATGTCCTAGAACCATCATGTTGGCATTGATTAATCGGAAGGCATCTATAACCACCTTTAGAGAGAGAAAAAAAAAAAAAGCAATGTCAATTACTTATTGGACATAGGGGCTGAAGAGTGGACATGCAAGATTTGCTAATATCTATGTTGGCATCAGGCCCAACACTCATTTAATTATAATATTAATAAATAGGACCTCCTGCTGGTAGAGCCATCAGGACATTTATGTCTCTCTGGAAGCAAAAGTAACACCAATTATTGTTTTTTTTTTTCTGTTCTTAAAGTGAAAAATAATCCTGAACAGGTATTTATAACCCAATTTATGTATTAACATTAATGTTTTCACTAGAAATGACACCTACGTACAAACCTCATCTTCTTCAGTTTCATAAACAGGCTAAACATGAAAGTGAGCACAAGCTAAGGGACCACGTTTAGGGCCCAGACCTGTCACTTCAATTACTCTAGAAAGATAAGCAGAATGACAAGGAAATTACAGCCTGCAAAGAACAAATCAGATGGCTTTTATAACTTATGGCCAGCAATGTCTACCTGCTGACAATCTGTTTTTCATAAACTCTCCCTAAACAGGCTGAATGGTGCAAGCAAGCCCACAAAAGTATATAAATCAGAAATAAAAGCTCAGTTTGTAATTGAAACAATAGGTTAAAATAAATTTGCCAGTCCTGCCAGGATGGATGCAAAGGCAAATAATGCAAACTTTGGATTTTTATCCCTTTCACAGAATTTGTCAGAAACATTTCCCATGTTCCCAGCTCCATACAATCAGTCAAGCCTGATTTACTAATGGCAATGCACGTATGATGAAACATCAATGCCACAACAAGAAAATCCTATGCTAAAAAAAAATGTATTATTCATTACTGATGTGTGCAAGTGCAAGCACACAAGCTACAATACACATACATGGAATTTACTGACAAGGGTGCTTTGCTATACAATGTACATTCCAATGTCTAACATATGTCAGTTAAGCAGTGGTGTGTCAGAAATAAAATTGTTATTTTTCTATGGCTTTGAACTGATCAACAGTTAGCACTCTTTGATTTGCATACCATACAGGATTAAAGCCGGCCATAGACCACACCCAGGAAGGAGCCTGACCATGGCTTGGAGCAGGAGCTCGATGTGAGGGCCCCTGGCTCCCAATCACCTCCAGTGTCCTGCCGAGAAGGGGAGAGATGTCCGGGAAGCCCTGAAGAGACTAGCTGGGAAGAGGGGGGACCTGCCTGGCATGGACTGAGGACCTACGGGAGTTGCGGCCATTGCAGCGGGTCTTTCTGTGCTCTCGGCCCAAACGTTGTGTGTTCCCTGGAGCTCAGTAGACACCAGGCGATCAGGTGATCTGACGCAAGGAAACTCTGGGAGGCAGAGGAGCCAGCTGGCGTTTCTTGGAACAAGGGAGACGCCGGCTCTCTTCCTCCTGCACACAGGACTGTGGCAGCTGGAGACATGCGGAAATGGGCTGGGTGAACCCCCCCTTCAATCCACTCATTGTGTGAGGGGAATGTCGAGTGCAATGCTCCCCAGAAGAGAGTACCTGGAGACGCCTCACTTGGCGTAAAGGAAGAGATGTCTTAAAGTGCGGGAAAGTCTCTCAGAGAAGTTCAATCTCTATAGAAACCAGAGATCTCACATGGGGGAGAAGTATTCCTGTTTCAAGTGTCTTCACACACATCAGAGATCTTACACGGAGGAGAAGTTGCATACCTGTCCGGAGTGCAGGAAATGTTTTTCATGTAAGTCCTATTATTATATATACCAGTGATAAACACAAGAGGGAGCAGCCATACCCTTGTTCAGAGTGCGGGAAATGTTTTTCAGAGAAGTCCAGCCTGCATATAAATCAGAGACCTCACATGAGGAAGATGCTATATCCCTGTTCTAAGCGGGAAATGGTTTCTCAGCTAAGTCTAGACTTTACATATATCAGAGATCTTACACAGGTGAAAAGCCATATGTCCGTCCTGAGTGCCGGAAATACTTTTCAGTGAAGCCTAGTCTTCACACACATCAGAGATATTACATGGAGGAGAAGTTGGATGCCTGTTCGGAGCGCAGGAAATGTTTTTCAGAGAAGCCCTTTTCTTCATATATGACAGAGATCTCATACGGGGGAAAAGCCATATTGGGGATAAGAGGGTGAATGAGAGCGGCAAAAGTACTGAGATTAACATTTTTCATGGGAACTGAACTGTATGTATTGAACTATATGTTTAAACTGAGGAGGGGTTCACCCAGGGGGTCTTAGAGGTAAATCAGAAGCAGGACAATGTAAAACAGATAAAGACCTAGAAGAAGAGGACCCAGGCAGATCAGTTCAGGAGTGGGGGAGAGAAAAAGGAAAAGAACAGAGAGGGGGATACCCATGGAAGACAACACATTTTGATATCAAATCAAAAATAAACCCCCCCCCCCCCCAAACTAAAACTGCGGAAAATTGAAATAGTCCCTGACAGCATGAAAAACAAAGTATCAAAGGGAGGAGGACCTAAGGCTTCCCAAACAGGGTCAATTAAAAAATACATACCCTCACAGGAGAAACAGACTCCAGAGAGACAACAGGGAATAAGTGTAAGAGGTGAGAGGGAAACAGCAGGGAATGTTCCAGACTATCCCTGGGAATAGCGAACAGTAGTCAACATATGGAAGAAGTGGATATGGATAAAGTAGAAGAACAAGAGGAGAGCTCACAGATGCCTACTAAAGCAGAAATAGCAGAAATGTTTAAAGGACTTGAAAGATCCCTAAAACAGGAACTAGCGAAATCACACAAAGATCTGGGGCAAATATTATCAAAGGTGGAGGAGATGGAAGAAAAACTAGATAAACATGTCCAAATTATACAGAAATGAGAAAAACGGGCGATGGAAAAATGAGAAAAGAACAAAGAAATCGGTTATATAAATAGGAAGACCAGGAGAATAGGGATAGGAGATGCGATCTAAGGATACAAGGCTTTCCAGAGATCTCCCAAGGAGAAGATTTGACGGGAATAATAATGAGAATGCTGAATACTATAATGTATAGAACTATAACAGAGCCTCTCAAAATGGAGGGAGTATATAGAATAGGAAAATACATACAAGAAGATAGAAAGGAAAAGCCAAGAGATGTAATAGTGGGAGGAGGGTATGGGGAGGGGAAAGGTAGTTTAAGACTCTGCGAAATAGTGGGAGAAACATCAGTCTGGAGAAATCCTAAAGATCAAAAGGGGAAGCTATGGAGGAAAGAAGAAGAGAAAAGAGATCGGGAAGATAGAGGTGTAGAGAGGAGAAGAATGGAAGAGATTCACTTTGTGACTTATAATGTTAAAGGGTTAAATAGCCCTGGAAAGAGATTTGGGATTTTTAAAGAAATTCAACATAGATTTTCTTCAGTGTTTTTTTTTTTTTTTTACAGGAGACACATTTGGTGCAAGAATCAAATGTTATTATTATTATTATTATACAGTATTTATAAAGCGCCAATAATTCACTCAGCGCTGTACATTACAAAGGGGGACAGAACATGTGACAGAACAATACCAATACAATGCAAAACATGAGGGGATCGAGGGCCCTGCTCTTTCGAGCTTACAATCTAGAAGGGATGGGATAGTGGTACAGGAGGAGATAGCTGTGGGGGATGGAGTGGTAGGAAGAGTGGAGGAGGTCAGCAAGTTAGCAGGGGGTGAGGTAGGCTTCCCTGAAGAGATGGGTTTTCAGGGTGCGCCTAAAGGAGAGGAGAGTAGGTGATAATCTGATGGGTTGGGGAAGGGAGTTCCAGAGGATGGGTGACACCCTGGAGAAGTCCTGGAGGCGGGCATGGGAGGAGGAGACCAGGGAACTAGAGAGAAGGAGGTCTTGTGAGGAGCGGAGTGTGCGTGCTGGGCGGTACTTGGATATTAGGTCAGTGATGTAGTTCGGGGCAGTATGGTAGACAGCTTTGTACGTCAGTGTTAGGATTTTAAATTTGATCCGTTGCGCAATCGGAAGCCAGTGGAGGGATTGGCAGAGGGGGGTGGTGGAAATGGAGCGGTTGGAAAGGTGAATGAGTCTGGCAGCCGTATTCAGGATCGACTGAAGCGGGGATAGCCAGCGGCGAGGCAGGCCAGTGAGGAGGGAGTTGCAGTAGTCGAGTCGTGATATGATGAGGGAGTGGATGAGCTGCTTAGTGGTTTCTGGGGTTAGGAACGTGCGGATTTTGGCGATGTTGCGGAGGTGGAGTCTGCACGAGTTTGTTAAAGATTGGACTTGGGGCTGGAAGGATAGGTTGGAGTCCAGAAGGACACCAAGTACTCTGGCCTGCAGAGCGGGTTTGATATTGGCGTTGTTGGATGTGATATAGAAGTCAATGGGGGGTGGGGTTCGGGCTGGGGGGAAGACAAGGAGCTCGGTTTTTTGGAGAGATTCAGTTTAAGGAAGTGGAGCGACATCCAATCTGATATGTCGCTCAGTAGGTGTGTGATTTGGGCAGAGACCGAGGGGGTGAGGTGGGGGGTTGAGAGATAGATTTGTGTGTCGTCGGCATAGAGGTGGTAGTTGAAGCTGTGAGAGTGTATGAGTTGGCCAAGGGAGGAGGTGTAGATGGAGAAGAGAAGGGGCCCAAGGACAGAGCCTTGAGGGACCCCAACAGAGAGGGGGAGTGAGGGGGAGGTGGTAGCATTATAGGTAACGCTGAAAGAGCGTTGTGACAGGTAGGATGAGAGCCAGGAGAGAGCAGAATCTCTGAGGCCGAGGGAGTGTAGTATTTTGAGGAGGAGGGGGTGGTCAACTGTGTCGAAGGCCGCAGAGAGGTCAAGGGGTAGGAGCACTGAATAGTGGCCATTAGCTTTGGCGGTTAGAAGGTCGTTGGAGAGTTTGAGTAAGGCGGTTTCGGTGGAGTGTAGGGGGCGGAAGCCAGACTGTAGGGGATCGAGGAGGTTGTTGTTGTTGAGGTGAGAGCATAGGAGGGTGTAGACGAGGTGCTCGAGGAGTTTAGATGTAAGTGGGAGCAGGGAGATGGGTCTGAGGTTGT